ATCCACTGAAAGATTATATAAGCAAGCTTTAGGGTAAAATCAGAGGAACATTAATAACATATTTAGTCATTAGTAGATGATTTTGGATAGTAGAGACAAACTTTTTTAACTACCCCATTCCTAAACCACTTAGCAAGTAGTTGACAAATATTTTTAAGTGCAGAAATGAATGAATACATGAATGATCTTTGGTTGAAGAATTGCTGCTACTTGGAGTACCGTATTATTTCATATCTAAGACATAATTGTAAAGAAAACAATTTAATAAAAGCTTTCCAAAGAAAACGGAAATTATACATTACATACATGTTGATTAAAAAGTAAAAAATATATAACTCTTAGTATTGAAGAAATACAGTAATTAAAGTAAATGAATTGCTATAAAATTATCTGACAACATTTTCTTTTCCCTTAGGATTTTAATAATTCTCAGATAATGATTCTCAGATAATCTATGTGCGTCAAGCTAAATGTTCTGATACTAAACTTTTAGTGGAAATTTCGCTTCAAGTATGCTCTCTACATTCGTCTGTCAACATTACTGACCAATATAGTTCAGCAAAATTATTGTCACATGATAGGATATTCAGATGATATGGACTGACCTCAAAAAACAAAATAATGAGCTCAGCTTCTAGCATTAGTAAAGACATGTCTGCTGATGCACAGAAGTACTTTATAGCAAGGGTGAAACTTCTTCGTGTAAAGGAGTTAGTTGGTCATCAACTTAAACATCGGATTTGGAGAGCTCTACACTTATCAAATCATAATCTCTGAAATTAAAGTCTGAGAAGTTAAGATAGTTTGCACTGTAGCCAGTGTTGTACAAATTTACAGAACAATCTTCAGGAACTCTGAACTAAGAGGACAGTCAAGGTCTCAGTGAAGCACTGTTGGGGACAGCATGGGAAAATGTCTCCAACCCTCACAGATTTCTAAAGCCATTCTCTTTTCATGGTGGTACTGATGTCATAGTAGCAAAAAAAAAAAAAAGTACTGCTTACTCTCTCTATTCTTGCCCATTCAGCTTATAACAAAAACTCTGAACATTCACAGGACAAACTTAGGGAAAGGATGCCTTTCATCTGTGAAGCCCTACTAAGACGTATCAGAATGTGTAAGCCTTTTTCTTTGTGCCTCCTGGAAAACTCACTCTCTACCAATTCAGAAAAGCCAAGTACATGGTCCTGCATCCCACCAAGTACAAGCTTCAGACTTAGGTAGAAAATTTAGGCCTAGATATTCTTTAGGTTCATAAGCACTTCTTTCTTCCTTTTCTCTTCTATCCTGCGTCAAATGTCTATGAGCAAGCAGTGTCTTTCTCTTGTTTTCCTGGTTCTTTTGGCACATGCCTCTAATCTACACTACCCAAAGTCAAAGTAGAAATAAATAGAGTGAACAGTCTTACTTTCCATGACTTCCTTTACTTTTTCAAGTCAACCTTGTCCCTTGTGATGTGGCAGCCCTGCATTCCCCTGAGGGAATTTGTCATCCACACCATGTGTTCATAAGTGCAACAGGTGAATGTCAAGGCACCGTAGCAGTAGGTTTGAGTGGAGGGTATGAGGACTATGTAACCAAAATCAAAAACTGCTTAAGCTAATGACAAGCTAACAATAGATTTTATTCAGATGTCCTGACTTTGAGAGCTCAGAAGCTCTGCGTAAGGGACTTAGATGTACCCAAATGTATTAGTCAAAATACAGTCAGGAAAACAGAAACAATTCCAAATATTTTAAGTAGAAAGAAATTCAATACAGGGAATTAGACATTAGTTGAGCCTAAGACCATCACTGATGGTGTTGCACAAATGTCCATCAAAAAGGGGACCTTATAGTATATTCATAAAGTGAGAGACTACATACCAGTTAAAGTAATGAAACATATCTCTATGTATAAATTTTTCTATATTTCAGAAACATACTTAACGAAAAATGTAAATTTCACATTTATACATACAATGGGATAGTGTTCACATAAATTTTAAAAGCACAAAGAAAATCACCACATATTATTTAGAAATAAACTTACATGTATTAGAAATATAAAAACATGGACTTGAGAAACAAAATTCATAGTTTGTCCTGGGAAAGGGAAGAAGGAAGACTGAGGAGAAAAATAAGAGATGGCAATTTTATTTGTAATGTTTTATTTTAAAAATTGGAACTTTACATTTGAGTAACTATTCCAAAGAATAGTTTGGGGAGGAGCCAGTATAAGTATGAATTTTTTTGACTAGGAAATGTATGTAATCAAGAATACATCTTGATACAAGATTACCACTAATCACACACACAAAAAAACCCAGATATCTCAATTAATGATTTTAGTGCTTATCTGATTTGGAAGATGCAAGAATATGGGGGTTATGAAATTCTTCCTTAGATGTGCATCATAACTATCTAGGAGCCAAAACACAGAATGTTTTATCCTGAATTCCTTTCAGGGTGCACTGAAGTTCAGTGACTGCAGCAGCTAATGACTCGATCCTTGTAGAACTGAAATGTGAGCAATGTGTATTGGTTTACAGCATATTTATTAACATGGAAAAATATCGATACTATTTTTTAAATATTACAATTTGTTCATATGGCAAATATAATTATTTTTTAAAAATCAGAAATTTCTTTTCTCTCCTTAATGTATTTATGCATAATGTAAAGTTTTTCCCAATTATAAAGTAATTATGTAAATAAAACAAACTGATATCTGAGGCAGGATTGACAGTGTTAGAATAGATGTTTTCTCAGGTTCTTGAGGTCCTTGGTGCCAGGAGTTATATTTCCTCGATACACAGCTTCAGTCTGGAATTTAAAACAAAGAAAAACAAAGGCAAGTCTCCTTCTCATACATTCTGACAGAGCACTTGCTTGTAGTCATTTTGGGTCATGAAACTGAGTTGGTGACCAAGTCTTATAAAGATAATTAGCCTTTCAGAGACAGTAGAGACTATAGTCTGGAAAACAAAACAGATTAAATAAGCATAAATTTATTATGAATAATTTTATTTCTCTTACCCCATATCCAGAAATCCTTTAAATGCATATAACACAAACAGCCGTATCAATATGACCTGAAGAATGTTATCCCTACTGGTGTCCCCTTTGGCTAAACTAAATCACTGAACACAATCCATTATTATTGCTGTATCTTTGGATTCCTATCATCTTAATCTCTTACTCATCACAGTATCAGGAAGTACACAGCTGAAAAGCCCAACCCTCCTGCATGCCTTTTCGCTTTAACTTTGCTGTAAAGTTGTCATTAACTTTCAAGCTTTGGGGTACTTAAGAATACAGTCTCCTTATAGAGTTTTTTCATCCTAGCCAGGGGAAAGTCATATATCTCTCACATGCTCTTTGACCTTTTAATTTTCATTGCAACTCTTAATCAGCATGTCTTCAGGGGTCAGATATTGCTAAACTTTGCACACCACTATAGCAATGTGAAACAGATGAGAACCAATGTCTACACTGTCAACATTCCAACAGTGAAGCCATATGAAGACAGAATGAAAGTAAAAAAGAAAACTCTGACAGTATTTGTGAGAAACTGGCCAAAGTTACTATCCCACCAATTCTGAAGATTTCTAATAATAAGCATCCTTGCTAGAATTTAAGATGTTTAAAGAATAGAAATCCATTGTTAAAATTGGGGGAAATAAAGCAAGCGTTACTTTATTTTTTTGTTTTTTTTAACATTTTTTATTGATTTATAATCATTTTACAATGTTGTGTCAAATTCCAGTGTTCAGCACAATTTTTCAGTCATACATGGACATATACACACTCATTGTCACATTTTTTTCTCTGTGAGCTACCATAACGTTTTGTGCATATTTTCCTGTGCTATACAGTATAATCTTGTTTATCTAGTCTAGAATTTTGAAATCCCAGTCTATCCTTTCCCACCCTCCACCCTCCTGTCAACCACAAGTCTGTATTCTCTGTCTATGAGTCTATTTCTGTCCTGTATTTACGCTTTGTTTTTGTTTGTTTGTTTGTTTTTTAGATTCCACATATGAGCGATCTCATATGGTATTTTTCTTTCTCTTTCTGGCTTACTTCACTTAGAATGACATTCTCCAGGAGCATCCATGTCGCTGCAAATGGCATTATGTTGTCGGTTTTTATGGCTGAGTAGCATTCCATTGTATAAATATACCACATCTTCTTTATCCAGTCACCTGTTGATGGACATTTAGGCTGTTTCCATGTTTTAGCTATTGTAAATAGTGCTGCTATGAACATTGGGGGGCAGGTGTCATCCTGAAGTAGGGTTCCTTTCGGATATATGCCCAGGAGTGGGATTCCCTGGTCATATGGTAAGTC